GACACTGGCATCATGAAGCTTTATAGATTAGCTTCAAGATGCCAGATCCATGTGGACTTCAGAGGGAGTCCACATGAGTAATGCACATGAGAAGTTATGAGCAGCGCGGAAACTCTTAATCTTAAAACTGTTTACTCAGTCCTCACAGTGAGTGTTTAGAGGCAAGCCCCTCTTAATGCTCCTCAATAATAATGGGAATTTCAAGCAGAAATGAACTGAACTGGGGGTTTTCTCAGCAGTGCGTGCACAGTGAGGGACTCACCTGCTAAATCTGAAATGAATAAAATAAGAGTCAGTGAAAATGCAGGCGTTAGATTAATGCACAAATGTTGCATTTGCCATTATTAGAATGTGATTTTAAGGTGATTTACAGATGTGGTGCAGTAACATAGTAACCGGGACAGCTTGTGGTCTGATGCTCAATAACATTTTGTATTGTTTGTTAGCAGTTCCACACAGATTTCCATTTGTAATAATGCAGCTTTCCTCTTGATAAATTCTGGACTCCACCTGTGTACTAATCTTTAGAACCTTTTACATAGTGCCCAGTTATTTCTATCAGTACAGTTACTTCTCATGTCAAAAGCATGCAGATTTTCCTTTATCCCCCTCTTATTTATCTGAACTGCCTTGCTGTTTCCTGAGAGAAACATATGTGAAACCTGAGCTTACACTTGATTATTTTTGTTAAAAGTCACTCATCAATCGCTGTCTCATGCTCCCTCCCTGGTATTTTTGAACCACTAATTCACATGGTTCTTGGCTGAGTTTTTCTACTGAAGTGAACAGCCCTCATCTCATATAAATTACAGAACACTGTTAGTAGATCAACCTGTAATTGTGTAATAATGTGGCATGTTTTGCCCCACTCAGTAAATCTGTCCTATGTTCTTTAAAATTAAACACATCTCTTAGATGAACTACTCTTTGTTTATTATGTCTGTTGTTTTTATGAATGTTTAAATTGTCTGTCACAATGAATTATGGGACAGCTTTTTTCTTCTTCCCCTTCATAAAGAATAATGCCGTTGTATCCTAAGCTAAAGGGGACAACAAAGGAAGCACTGAACTTCCTTTCCTAAATATTTGGAGGACTGGAACAGATCTCATTATTGCCACTAAATAGATACTTCCAGGTCACTTCTGTCAGTTAGTAAGATTCCTAGGAAAAATTTACTATTGGAACACATCCCAGGTTAGCTCTTTATATACATTGGGTCACAATCAGCCCCTGGTGACACCCAAGTGGCTAGAATTCTTCTCACGCATTCATGGAACAACTAGCTGCTCATAGAAGGTTGCACACACAGGCAATGAAGCATATTTGTTGAAAATATACAGTATACATACAACCCAACCAGCAAACTAAAATGGCCATGCTTTGGATAACAGACCAGGATCAAACTCCAGAGAGTTTGAAAGGCACTACGCCCACTTTGGTTTACACTGAGGGACTTTCCAATTCCTTGAAGATTAAGCAGTCAGATCGCAGCTTCCTGCATACACAGGCCACAGCCTGAACACCAGACCTCACAAATTCCTTTAGCTTTGTGCAATTTAAGTTAGAGCCCAGGCATGTTAGTCAGGGGTGAGAAACGTTTTAATAATTGTTAAGTTTGATGTTGCAGGTCACTAGGTATTGTATTCCCCCTGTACATTTGGCTGTTAGCTTATTTATGAACAGTCCAATGGTAAAATTTTGCTAGTATAGTACTAGTATAGCATAAGCATGGCATGTGATTTGAATAAGAAATAAGATTAAAATTAAATGTTAGACTTTGGAAAACTCAGCTACTCTTTTTATGGACTGTGCATAATTAAAGGAATAAATCATTTTAAAACAATTTCAACATTTTTAAAATGTCAAAAATAGTTTTGTTTTCCACAGACGTACTGTACAGTTATTCCTTAACTGCATATTAACACATCTTTGCTTCATTTTATTCTGATTATCTTTGTCTTCTTCCTGCAGATTATGAGACAAATGCCCACTAAGTAGAGGAGAAGCAGGATCCGACATTCAGTACAAGACTCGTCTTGAAACTTGCA